GAGGAGTCAGGCCTGAACTTCTCTGTGTCTGCACCCACCCGACCATGCTGCTCCCCCTCCCCAGATGGACTTCCCTGTGCCCTCAGAGCAGCACAGTGGCCAGAGACAACTCACAGTCTTTGGGCAGCTTCTCCTCAGCAGTGAAGATGACAGCGCCCCCCGGCCGCTTGGGGTGTGGGAAGGGGTAGCCGTTCTCCTTAAGCTGGTCCTCGGTGAGCAGGTACTCTTTGAGGCGGTCGTACAGGGCGGCCCCTGCAGATGACCCAGGATAGGCATCAGCCCACAATGAGGTCAGGGATAGCCAAGGGTCGGGCAGTGGGTGGAAGGGAGGGGTGGCGGTGGGGGCAGGCACTGCACCCCAGGCTCTGGAGGAGCCAGGTTCACCTTTCAGATCCTCCACGCGGGGGCTGCTCGGGCGGTTGAGTGAGAAGCTGGTCTTGGCAGCCAACTTGCCCCCCAGCACTGCCTCATGGGACACGACCCTCCGGCCACTAGTTTCTGGAAAGGGGGAGAGGAAGGGTAAACTAGGCTCGACTCCCTCGTCCTTCCCAAGTGCTCCCCTACTTCCTCTTCTGTTCCCAGGACAGCCCCTACCACCTAGAGACAGGGGAGGCCCGACCTCATGTGGCCCTGGGCCAATTACCACCACACCCCCCCCCCCCCCCCCCCGACATGCACTCAGGTTCAGGAAGCTTTGCTCCGGCCCGGCCCCCCACCGGCCTCCTCAAAAAGCCCGCCAGACTGAGTTACCGATGATGACTCCTACTTCAGAGGAAAATGTCATCATAGGCACAGGTCATCATGGTCCCCACGGTGTCATTGACCAAGGCCAGGATATCCACATCGATGTCATGTTGGAACACAAGCGTTAGTGCGTGGTGAAGGGAGTGTCATCCCCTCTGTCTGTCCTCACGGAGAAATGCCATAGCAGTGAAGGGTGACTGTTGAGAAAGTCCTTAGATCTAGCCCTATGGGGGCCTGCCTGGGAGGGAGCAAGCCCTTTGTCAAAGTCAGAGGGTCTCGGAGAGAGGAACGAGCAGATTTGTAGCTCGTGGCGGGAAGCAATGCTGCTGCGATATGGCTGATGGCCCCTGTGTCCTAGTAAAAAGAGGAACAGACCACCTGGACTCAAGGCCCTCGCGTGCGGGACCCTTAAACCCAACATGGGT